AAGGAACGTTTTGTGCAAAGATGGACATGATAAAGGACAAAAATGGGAGGGATCTAACAAAAGCAGAAGAAATGAAGAAGAGGTGGCAAGAATACACAGAAAAATTATACCAGAAAGATCTGGATGTCCCCGACAACCTAGATAGTGTGGTTGCTGACCTGGAATCAGACATCCTGGAGAGTGAAGTCAAGTGGGCCTTAGAAAGCATAGCTAACAACAATGCCAGTGGAGGTGATGGCATTCCAGTTGAACTATTTAAAATCTTAAATAGTAATCTTACACTTGCTACATATGTAAGGTAAAGGTTCCCCTTGACATATAGACCAGTCATGTCTGACTCTAGGGTGCGGTGCCTGCATTTATGTGTAGACAGTTTCAATGGTCATGAGGCCAGTGCGAGTAGACTTGGAACGCCATTACCTTCTGACTGAGGTGGTACCTATTTATCTACTCGCATTTACATTCTTTCAAACGGCTAGCTTGGCAGGAGCTGGGACAAGCAATGGGAGCTCACTCCATCATGTGGATCGATCTTACGACTGCTAATCTTCTGACCTTACAGCACAGAGGCTTCTGCTTCTTCTAACAGTGCCACTAGTTTGCACTTGTTACATGTGTATATCTTATTATATTCAGGAACAAATTTTGCAGGTTACTGCAACTGAATTGTCTCCACCCTCCATAATCCCTGCTAGCTTTTTGCTTTCAACTGACTGTTTACAAATGCATTTCCTTTTATTTAGTTAATTTGGCTGTAGCTGGGATCATCTACAAATACATAACTATATGCAAGAGAACCAAAAAAATTTGATAGGGGCCTCCCCCTGTTCACTCGCTCTGGTTGTGAGCTCCCTAGATCTGCCACAGCTTTATTCTTCAGCTGTGCTCTGTTTGGAGTCAGGAATCAAATGGCCCTCTCAGAGCTCACAGCTGCTACTTATAGCTCTCAGCAGTAATCAGGACACTCCCCTTTCTATTAGGCAAATCACATGGCTCTTCCTGTTAAGGACCCCTCCCCCCCTTCTGTTGAGTCAAGCATACGGCTCTTAAGCTGAGCACATGGTGCTTCTGTCTGGGCAATTCCTAGGAGTTATTCTAAAAAAAAAAACATCACTCACCTCTTGGCCTTTTTCTGCTTGGTCTTTCTTTCCTCCCGAAGACTTCTCCTTCCTACCTTTCCTTCCTATCTCTCCCCCAGGAAATTCCTGTTCGCTTGCTCTGCTCACGAGCTCCTTGGGTCTGCTTCAGCTTTTGGGACTGATGTCAGGCTGACTGGTCTCTAGTTCCCAGGTTCATCTTTTTTGCACTTTTTGTAGATAGAGACAACGTTAGCCCTCCTCCAATCATCTGGCATCTCACTCATTTCCCATGATTTCAAGAAAAGCTGGTCATCACAAACACTCTTTTCCAACAACACAAGAGGCGACTCTATACATGGAAATCACCAGATGGGCAATACTGAAATTAGATTGATTATATTCTCTGCAGCCAAAGATGGAGAAGCTCTATTCAGTCAGGAAAAACAAGACCTGGAGCTGATTGTGGCTCTGATCATCAGCTTCTTATAGCAAAATTCAAGATTAAATTGAAGAAAATAGGAAAAACCACTGGACTAGTCAGATATAATCTAAACCAAATCCCTTATGAATACACAGTGGAAGTGAAGAACAGATTTAAGGAACTAGATTTGGTGGACAGAGTTCCCGAAGAACTATGGCTGGAGGCTCGTAACACTGTACAGGAGGCAGCAACAAAAAACATCCCAAAGAAAAGGAAATGCAAGAAACCAAAGTGGCTGTCCAACAAGGCCTTACAAATAGCAGAGAAGAGAAGGGAAACAACATGCAAGGGAGATACGGAAAGTTACAGAAAATTGAATGCAGACTTCCAAAGAATAGCAAGGAGAGACAAGAGGGCCTTCTTAAATGAACAATGCAAAGAAATAAAGGAAAATAATAAAAAGGGAAAAACCAGAGATCCGTTCAAGAAAACTGGAGATATTAAAGGAACATTTTGTGCAAAGATGGACATGATAAAGGACAAAAATGGGAGGGATCTAACAAAAGCAGAAGAAATGAAGAAGAGGTGGCAAGAATACACAGAAAAATTATACCAGAAAGATCTGGATGTCCCCGACAACCTAGATAGTGTGGTTGCTGACCTGGAATCAGACATCCTGGAGAGTGAAGTCAAGTGGGCCTTAGAAAGCATAGCTAACAACAATGCCAGTGGAGGTGATGGCATTCCAGTTGAACTATTTAAAATCTTAAATAGTAATCTTACACTTGCTACATATGTAAGGTAAAGGTTCCCCTTGACATATAGACCAGTCATGTCTGACTCTAGGGTGCGGTGCCTGCATTTATGTGTAGACAGTTTCAATGGTCATGAGGCCAGTGCGAGTAGACTTGGAACGCCATTACCTTCTGACTGAGGTGGTACCTATTTATCTACTCGCATTTACATTCTTTCAAACGGCTAGCTTGGCAGGAGCTGGGACAAGCAATGGGAGCTCACTCCATCATGTGGATCGATCTTACGACTGCTAATCTTCTGACCTTACAGCACAGAGGCTTCTGCTTCTTCTAACAGTGCCACTAGTTTGCACTTGTTACATGTGTATATCTTATTATATTCAGGAACAAATTTTGCAGGTTACAGCAACTGAATTGTCTCCACACTCCATAATCCCTGCTAGCTTTTTGCTTTCAACTGACTGTTTACAAATGCATTTCCTTTTATTTAGTTAATTTGGCTGTAGCTGGGATCATCTACAAATACATAACTATATGCAAGAGAACCAAAAAAATTTGATAGGGGCCTCCCCCTGTTCACTCGCTCTGGTTGTGAGCTCCCTAGATCTGCCACAGCTTTATTCTTCAGCTGTGCTCTGTTTGGAGTCAGGAATCAAATGGCCCTCTCAGAGCTCACAGCTGCTACTTATAGCTCTCAGCAGTAATCAGGACACTCCCCTTTCTGTTAGGCCAATCACATGGCTCTTCCTGTTAAGGACACCTCCAGCCCATCTGTAGAGGCAAGCATACAGCTTTTGAGCTGAGCACATGGTGCCTCTGTCTGGGCAATTCCTAGGAGTTATTCTAAAAAAAAAAACATCACTCACCTCTTGGCCTTTTTCTGCTTGGTCTTTCTTTCCTCCCGAAGACTTCTCCTTCCTACCTTTCCTTCCTATCTCTCCCCCAGGAAATTCCTGTTCGCTTGCTCTGCTCACGAGCTCCTTGGGTCTGCTTCAGCTTTTGGGACTGATGTCAGGCTGACTGGTCTCTAGTTCCCAGGTTCATCTTTTTTGCACTTTTTGTAGATAGAGACAACGTTAGCCCTCCTCCAATCATCTGGCATCTCACTCATTTCCCATGATTTCAAGAAAATAATGGACGGTGGTTTGCAGAGTTCTTCAGCCAGTTCCTTCAATATTCTTTGATGCAGTTTATGAATTCGTTCAAGGTAGTAAGGTATTTCTTGACTATTTGTTTATCAATCTCCAACTGCTGTACAATCATTTCCCCCATCCCCACTGAGTAGCTGAGCCACCATTTTCTCTCTCTATCTTTTGCCATGCATGTACCTGAAGAATGCTTTTAAAACTACACTTAGCATCTTTTGCTTTCAGTGGTTAAATTAGTCTTTTTCCATCTGTTCAGACGAAAAGCCTGCTTTTAAATCCCTTTGCTTCAGTAGCTCTATTGTAGTTGGAAGCAGCAACTTGATTTTAGCCTTAAATTATCTGTCCCTGTTTGTAGAAGAACCATTCTCTCTCCCTATGAAATCTTTGGAATGATAGTTTTATGAAGCCACTTAGAGCTTTCCCTATAAGTTATCATCAACTTAACCATCATGTCTCGTATGGAGGAAATTTAAGGAAATATTCACATAAAATTTATTTGGAAATATGTATTAGAATAAATCCTGGATGTTCATATTCATATGTATTACAAAAACACTATTTGAGTCTAATTTCTCTCAGTCTGCCAACTCATTGAATGATATAACTCAGATTTTAAACAACTTATCTGATCTCAATCACCCTTCTTATTCCCATTAAGATGTATATATATTCAAAGAACAAAAAAAAACAGTATTGATAAATGATTTTTTTAAAGGGCACTAAAGGTCATTCAATGGATATCCAGTGTGGTGTAGAGGGTAGACTAATGGACTAGGACTTGGGAGACCTGGATTCCCATCCCCGGCTCTGCCATGGCAACTCATTGGGCATAAGGTGGGATGGAACTTGTAAATAATAATGTAATTGGTTGTCATAATGTCAATTTTGATTTTTGGCAACCCTTTCCAGGGGGCATCCTAGGGCTGTGCAGCTTGCCCAAGACTACACATCCCAACCTCTGGCTCTGCAGCCAGACACTTAACTCACTGTGCTATCCAGACAGATAGAACTGGTAAAATCACACTCCGTAAATACTTCACTAACCTTGAAAACCCTATGGTTTGATGGCACATAACAAAACTCATCCAACACTTCTAATATGTAAAGCACAACAAGGCAGTTACCACTGTCCTTTTGAGGATTACTGGTCTATCAAAATGATACAAAGCACTCATCTAAGGCTTATGATTTTCAGGAGCCAGTGCAACAAGGCAATTAGTTTTGCACAACTGTGTGATCTGTACAAGAACTATTTTAAAAAAAGTTACAGAAAATATTTCACCACATCACAGATAAAAAGCTAAACACTGTGGTTACTCATTTGCAAGACTCTGCACCATTGCTGATCCATTTATAGCTACTGAACAATATTAGAACATATTTTCATTCTGCCATTAGCTTTATTGCTTGGTTCCAATGCTTAATATTGGGTGTGTTTCTTTAGCTTTTCCCCCCCTAGCCCATGGAGCACCAGCCTTTCCTCAGGGGGCCTAAAGATGCAATATTTTGGAGTGGTAGGGGTCTCTGAAGAGAGGTCTCTAGGAAGCTGGCCATCAAAGCAGAAACACTAACGAGAAAAAAAAGAAAGGACACTTACATGGGATTTGCATTCACTGGATGGAGGACAACTTGGGGTGCTCGGGTGGGTGTCTCAGGTACTACATCTGAAAGCAAGAGATCACATTCAGTACCGAAAGGCACAAAGGTGTATTCATGCCCTTAGCAAGGGACGGACAAGTTTTCAGAGTACTAGGTATCCTGCTGGTGTATAGAAGAGTTCTGAATAACAGGCAGATGGAGTTGAATATTCACCCCATCCCATCCTAGGCTGTTTCTGAAGACACTGAAGCATGGGAAACAGTTTTAGATCTCAGACTTGCACAAATACCTAGATATTACCTCTTGCCTTGAGGATCATTGGTCACAGCAAGATCTGAGGATTAACTGCACAAAAGCCACTTGATCCATCTGTTTGTTTACTTAGCACATTTATTGTCTGTCATGGCCTTCTTCCTCAGTTTCATTTTGTCCTTACAAAATGTTTCCTTTTGTCCTCATTGAGCCATAAGACTTGCTGTCCTACCTGTGAGGTAAGTCAAGCTGAGAGACAGCAAATCTTATGGCTCAAAGAGGATTAAAAATTGTGCCTCTTTCTTTACACTCTCTTCGCCTGGCCTACCTCACAGGGCCACGAGGAAAGGAAACGGGGAGGAACATGGCTCTAACACAAAATACAGAAGAAAATGCCTACTAAAACGTGCATTGTAACAGAAAATAGATACAAAAAGATACATATTTCAGGAATTTGTTCATATGTTAAAATGTGTGACATGAAATGTACCAATGGGTGAATGTAAGTAAAACCAATACGGACTGATGTTACTGGTCAACACACATGAGCTGCCCTCAGTAGCAGAGCTTAGAAAAAGTTACTTTTTAAAACTGCAGTTCCCAGAATTCCCGAGCCAGCACGGCCACTAGAGATTGGGAATGCATGCAATTAACACAATCTTGATTATTGCCTACTTTACACATTTACTAAACATTTGGAAAGGACTAGGGAAAGAGGATGTGTCTAACAATATAGGACTGAGACAAACTGAATCAAAAGTTAGCTAGTAGTCAGGAGAAGGTGTTTGCAAGCACACTTATTTGTTACAGTTATAGTCCCTCTCCCCTCCAAAGGACTCAAGTTGTCCCAACAATCCCGAGAAATAGGCTATTTATTTTATTTTATTTGTAGAGGGGACCCAAAACAGCTCACAATAGCTAGAACAAATTAAATTAAAAACTCAATCAAATACAAGGTTAAAAAACAATTAAGCATACATAAATAATTAAGAAGGAACTAAGTAATAATTAATTAATTAGTTAGGTAGTCTCTATCTTTTCATCTCAATCCCATGCTGGCTCTCATGGGAATCAATAGTTTTTAATTTAAGTGTTCTTTTAAAAAACTTTAAAACTGCTGAATCTGTAGTTTATACCCATTCTCTACTATTTAAAAAACCTTAAAAGCACACTTAAAAGAACAAATCCCCAGCCTTCAGAAGGGAATCAATCTTAGTTATTAAAAGCCTGACTTAAAGAGGCAGATCTTCAACTGTTGCTGAAAAGACAAAAAGTAAGGGGCCGACTTAACCTCCCAAGGGAGACCATTCCAGGACTTGGGAGCAGCCACAGAGAAGGCCCTCTCTCATGTCCCTGTCAGGTGCCCCTGTGGTGGCAATGGAACCAAGAGAGCCTCTGCTGAAGATCGGGAGGACAGAGAAGGCTCATATGGCGAGATAGAGTCCTTCAGGTTAGGCTGAGAGGTGGCACCTGATTCAGAGATACCCAGGGGACTTCATGGCCAAGTGGGAAATTGTCCCTGCATCTCCTTCAGTCGCAGTCCACAGTGATGAGGTACAGATCAGCAAATGCAGAGGCTCCAGGAACCACCACCCTATTTCCTCACCACCATCACCCAGAGCCTCGAGGTTTCCATATACTAAAAGTTTATTCCCAGTGGGTCATTTCTGCTTTTAATGCTAAGTGGAAGTAAAAAAAAAGATATAATCTCTGAAATCCCAGAAGCTTCTGAGATTATAATTGATCATTTGAGGGTGAGGGTCGACTGGGAGGGATAATGGAGACACAGAAGGAATCTGAGTGTTTGTGCGTGGACTGCACAGTCCCTTATCCCTTCTGTCATTCCCAGCTCTGAGCTGGGTCTCAGGAGGATCAAAAGCAATTCAAGATACTTACCTGGAAAGATGAACTGCTGTTTGTATTTATAATACTGGGAAGCTGGAAAGGAGAAAACAAATGCTTTAGAAAATGCAAATAGATTGAAGCCCCTCTGAGAAATTAGTTGGAAATGAAGCTTGGGAAAATGTTACTCTGTTTTTGTCCCCCTTATACCGCAGAGCAGCTGGTGTAGCACACAGAAATAACCTAGGAATTATCAAGCATGTTACCTGGATAATTTATGCAGACATTCATACCAGCATACTAGCATATCATTCATACTACTGAGACAAGTAACATGCATTGGCTAAAACTGCACTTCAGTTCACCAAGATCACTAATAATATATCTGCACTTCACAGTTTTATTATTCTGTCTGCCATGACTCTATGCTAAGGAATTGTAGAACCTCTAGTTTGGTTGGTTAGCTACAGTCTTCTGCTAGAAAGTTCTAGGCCACTCCTCTTTTCTAAGAAAAGAGACTGAGGATTTAATAGTAGAGATGGGCAAAAACTACAGGTTCAGCAGTTCATCCAACTTCGTTTACTGCCCCAACAGGTGTCTGGTGGTTTGGCACCCTGGCCCCTCTGGTGGGTGCCCACTCAGAGGCACTGTCCAGCAGAGGCAGAGCAGGGAAGCTGGGACATTACCTCTGAGTGGGCGTCCACTGGAGGGGATGGGTCACTGAACCTTGTTGAGGTGGTAAATGAACTGTGCTGAACCACCGAACCACCGAACTGGTGGTTAGTGCCCATCTCTGTTCTGTAGTATCTCACCAAAATACAAACTCCAGGATTCCTGTTGTTGTTGTTATGGTTGTTATGTATCATCAAATCACCTCTGGCTGTATGAATGAGTGACTTAGCCTTGCTCAGCTCCTGCAGACTCAAGGGAGTGGCTTCCCATATGGAATCGATCCATTTCATATTTGGTCTTCCTCTTTTCTGGCTGCCTTCAACCTTTCCCAGTGGATTTGTCGTTAAACGGGGCACTCGTTATACGAGGCACCACTGTATTATTTTCTTTTTCAGAGAATCTTGCCTTCTCATGATGTACTCAAAGTATGACAACTTCAGTTTTGTCATTTTTGCCTCTAGCGATAGATCAGACTTGATTTGATGTGGGAACCACTTGTTTGTCTTTCTGGTGGTCCAGAGTGTTTATAAAGCTCTCCCTCCAGCACCATATTTCAAACAAATCAGTCTTTATCCTGGGAGTTTTTTTTCCCTCTATCCAGCTTTCACACCTGTACATAGTACTTGTGAATACAGTAGTGCGGATCCTGGGAGGTTTTTTTCCCTCTATCCAGCTTTCACACCTGTACATAGTACTAGTGAATAGAGTAGTGTGGATAAACTTGGTTTTGGTCTCCAGTGACACATCCATCTTTTTAATTCCTTCATTGCTGCCTTTCTGAGTCTCAGTATTCTTCTGATTTCTTGGCTGCAGTCTCAATTTGAATTGATAATTGAACCAAGATATATAACATCTTTTACTATTTCAATCTCTTCACTGTCAACATTAAAGTTGTGTTGTTCTTCTGTGGTCATGATTTTCGTCTTCTTAATGTTCAACTGCACTCTTTGCTTTGGGACTTTCTTTTTCCATTTTAATCAGAAGTTGTTTCAACCCATTGCTGCTTTCCGACAGTAGGACGGCGTCATCCACATGTCATAAATTATTGATGTTTCTCCCACCAATTTTCACCTTCACCAGAATCTAATCTAGTTTGCTATATACTATGTTCTGTGTATGGATTGAACATATAAGGAAATAAAATACACACTTGTTTGACACATTTCCACACAGGAAATATGCTGTCTCCCCATATTCCGTCCTAAGTGTAGCTTCTTGTCCACAGTACAGGTTGTATGTGGCTACAACCAAGTACTGAGGCCCACGTGGCCATGAACCCAGAGCTTCTTGTAATCCACACAATCAAAGCTTTGCTGTAATCTACAACGTATATTGATATGAAATTCGTTGGTGTGCACCAGGAGCCAGCAGATATTTCAAATCCCTCTTCCTTTTCGGAATATGGAAAAACCTCAGCTGCAACACTTGAATATCACTTTTCTTGCATGGGAAATTACAGAAATGCTCTTACAATTACTGCACTCCTTGGCATCTCCTTTCTTTGGGATTGGAATGTATATTGAATGTTTCCAGTCTGTTTTGCTTTCCATATTTGTTGATATATTCTTGCTAGGATTATGACATTTCTTTTGCTATTTCATCTGCTCTGGGGATTCATTTCTTCCTAGTGCTTTCAGAGCAGCTTTCAGTTCACATTCTTGAATAGCTGGCTTCTTCATCATAGGATTCCTCTTCAAAGTAATCTGTCATCTTTTTATCTCTTCTATGTAGGCATTCAGTATATTGTTTCCACCTTCTCTCTATTTTCTTTTTGTCTGATAGTGTGCTTCCCTGTTGGTCTTTGATCATTCCTAGTCTAGGCTTAAATTTACCTTTGATTTCTTTGATCTTCTGGATGAGAGATCTTGTTTTCCCTCTTTTGTTATTTTCTTTTATTTCTTTGCACTGGCCATTACAATACAGTAGTACTCTTTATCTCTATGTGACCGTCACTGAAAAGCTGCATTCAGGATTCTGACCCTACTTTGTCAGGGACAATTCTGACCTTTTACTTTGCTTCTCAAATGTTGTTAACAATTTTAAGTTTTTCTACCAACATCCATCTAGGTTTCTCCTTTCTTTTTACTACAGGAATTGTCTTTTGCATTCATCCCTCATGGTATCGCCAGTTTCAATATACAGTTTTTTTGGTTCACAGTCAATTGAGTTTAGTACTGCAAATCTGCTCTTTATGTGGGCTTTAAAATCACCAGGAATGTTGTTTAAATTATATTTTGTCACTAAAGAGTTTCTTTTTAGTATTTTTCAGCTTTACTCTATTGTTTGATATTAACAGTTCATGATCAGTAACATAATTTGTTCCTTGTCTTGTTCTGACTGACAGAATATAGCTTCTCCGTTTTTGAGTTTAGTACTGCAAATCTGCTCTTTATGTGGGCTTTAAAATCACCAGGAATGTTGTTTAAATTATATTTTGTCACTAAAGAGTTTCTTTTTAGTATTTTTCAGCTTTACTCTATTGTTTGATATTAACAGTTCATGATCAGTAACATAATTTGTTCCTTGTCTTGTTCTGACAGACAGAATACAGCTTCTCCGTTTCCTGCTTCCAACTATGTAGTCTACAGTATTTGATTTCTATATTGCCCATTTGCTTGAATTTATTGATGCCAAGCACTGCATATTTAAACATTCCATTTTTAAAATTTTGTTTGTCCGTACACCGCCCAGAGTAGTGTGAATTCACTAATCAGGTGATATATGAATTTAATAAATAAATAATCTATGGCTTCCCATTTACCTTGATTCATGCTTCTCACCTTCCATGTTAAAATTGTATTGTACTGAAAGTCACTGGACTTTTCTTTCACCTCTGTGGCCATCCTTTCAGCTTTTATCTAGTTGCGTCCTTAGCAACAGTGCTATTAGTACTTGTCCTTTGCTCTTCCCAAGTAGTTGCTTGAATGCCTTCTGACTTGAGTTTCATCTTCCAGCACTATCTCTCATTTCATTTTCGACTGCCTCATCATAAAGTTTTCAAGGTAAGAAAACTTCAGCAGTGGTTTACCATTCCCTCTTTCTGCATAGCACTAATGAAGGTTAACTTGAGTGTCACAGCCTTTGTCTGTGAAAGATCCTCTGCCGGGTCACTTTAGCTACCACTGCTGCTTACTAGCTGACCTCCAGAAGATTCTCCACCCCATCACTATTGGAACTATTAATTTGCTTCTGCAGTCATTACAAGAGTAGATTTTTGGTCTAGATGGGATGGATAGAAATCCAGTAAATAAATAAATAAAATAAAAATACAACTGAAGAAGGTGGTTGCATCTAGTCTGATGCCTCCGTAGTAAACATTTTTCCTGGGGTGCCCTGCTAGGTGTTTAGGCTCCTAATGGAGTCTAGCCTCCTGGTGGTATTACTCTCGGCTTCTCTGACACATTCAATTTCATGCACACAAATATTTAAAACATGGGAGTTTAGAATAAATATTCACCTTGTTCCTAAGCTGCGTCAAAGACTAACAGAGGCTTATTACATGCCATGCCCATAAATGATGATTATACTGTATCAAATGAGGCCCTATATTATTTTTGTCATTCTTATCTAAGGGGTAGTTTTTTCTTCCTTGCTGTGCTTTTACAAGCTGTCAGCACATCAAGAACCTCCTGATAAAGCTACCTTTTTATTCATTGTTTCCTCTTAGAGTCTATTTCAGCCCCTTAACTTGGATCTCATGTGAAACGTCCACTTTTGCAGAGAACAAGAACAAAAAATGCTATGCCACTTTAATGGTGAGCACTGCATGAGCTCTTGTTGATTAACACCCAGTTCATCAGATGGGGAGAATAAAGATGTAATGAATACTCTTTTTTTTCAATCCTTGACAAAAAGGATATCTTGACACATCAAAATGTTCTCTTTAAAAATGTCAACAGTTGTAAGATTTTCCACTGCTATACAAGAGTGAAAAATATTGTGACAATTATTATTTTTCATTAGCAGTGGCATCAGCAAAAAACAATGTTTTCTGCAGAAAACCATGTATTTGCATTGAAACCTTGTACAGTATTCAGCACAAAACATCAAGGGTTCTGCACAAAATCCACTTCTGCAAATAAGTAGCAAAAGGAGTCCAAAAATGTGAAATGTCATATAATCTTTCCAGCATGGAGAAAACTTATAACATTTCTTTTTACTTGTGAGAATGATATTCGTACATAAAGATTTACTCCACATGTTACCCAAAATTCCACAAATATATTAGCATATAAAAGAAGTCTCCAAAATACAAAGAGAAAAGCATTGTCATTATATATGAAAATAGATATTCTGCAACTTTTATATCCACATAGTCCCTACATATAACCAGACAAGATTATTCAATACAGTATTTAGAATTTCCCATTTCAGAAAAGATATTTGTCCAGTTTTCAGTGCAGAGCTATAGTATGAATTAAGCTTTTTCCTGAAATGCCTTTACATATCAATCTGTTTCAGTTCTGAATTTCTCCATAAAATTTTGCTATATTGTGAACTGAACATTTCCCTGAGAAGCTGATAAATAATAGCAATCTAATTCTGAATGAAACTGCTCCAGTTCACAGTGCTTGGCTGTATGGCGAATGGATTCCTCATTATGTTTCCATAGGAAGCCTATAAATAAGCAATTCAATTCTCAAGAGAGTTTGTCCACCATTAATACTAGCCTTAGGATTTGGCTCCAGGTAGGCATATTTCCCTCCCTGCAGCTGTAAATCCATGGTAGGATTGTATTGTGCAGAAGTAATTCAAGCTTGCCCTTCTAGCCTTTTCCCCGAATGCCGCCAAGCCTATCTGCAAATGGATGACCAGTAAGGGCTTTCAAGGATACTCAAAAGTACAATAACTGTATGAGTCTTGGTGTTTCCTTTCCTGATGGTGAAAAATTGCTTTCACAATTTCCAATAAAGGCCATACACTTTGTTAACTATCTGTGAAGGAACCTTTTGAAACATGAGTGATGGAAGTAACAGTTCTCGTTTTAATGGAGAAAAGCACAGAAAAAGATACACTCTCCCTCATGCTGAGCTGTCAAAAGGAGAACAACTTGGCATTGCTTCACAGAAGATGCTAGCCTTATGTCAAGCTAGGTCATTGGGCCTTGGAGCTTGGGAAAGGGGCATGCTACTGCTTTCCTGAGTATTCAACAGAGGACTTTCCAAGTCCAGAAATGTCAGGGACTGGCCAACTGTTTGCAATATGTTCACTGTACAAAAGGCTGGTGAACATAGCAATCTGCCTTATTCCAAGTCCGGCCATTTCTCCAGGCCTCACGTAGTTCTGTCTACAGATATCCAGACGAGGCCAATTACAGAACTGTAGGTCTGATGGGTTGCGATCTTGATCACTACATGGGGGCACTTTTCAGGAGATGGTGGAAGATCTTGTGATTTTTTTGCCTACAAGGAGGGAGGCTGTTCTTGGGTAAGAAGACTGGAAGTTTTTGACTCTCTGGATTGTTTTTTTTTAAATATATGCTCATTGCTTGACCATCCCTTTGATTCATATAATCGGATAGATATTGTATTAATCTATGATGGGGTCCTCAAAATTTTAAAACAGGGGGCCAGTTCATTGTCCCTCAAACAAATGGATCAAGTAAAAAAAAAGACCCGGGTCCTTTTTATTTTTAACTTGATAGGGATGAATTAATTATCTGAATGAGTTTTTAAGTGAAGAAAACATACAAGAGGATACTTTTAAAAATTTGTAAAGTGGAATTGGAATGTATTTTAAAGTTTTTATTAATAAAAATCTATTTTTGCTAATTATTTGTCTATTTGAATATTTTCTTCCGGGTGCATTTTTTTTACTTGATCTGAACAAATTCCTATGCATACCGCACATATCTTAATTGTAGTGAAAAAAAACAGGAAAAAATAATACAATATTTAAAATGAAGAACAATGTTAATCCACATAAGCTTATTAGTATTTCAATGGGAAGTATGGGCCTGCTTTCAGCTAATGAGATGGTCAATGTCTGGTTCCATATTTGTCACTGCTAGTCATAACAAGTGATGCAAGTGTGCATCAGCTAGGCTGGATCTGATTGGAGATTTCAGATGTTTCATTTGAGAAAAAGTCTGCTCACAGACATAGGTGCTCCCAAAGATGGTTGCCATTTTGAGTGCATGGTTCCTGAGATTAAGATATGTCTCAGAGGTGAGAGATGCATAGAAATTAGTAAGGCTGCTTGACTTGAATGCATCTTCCAGAGAGTTACAATTCTGTGGTTCGGCCAGTTCCAATTGGCAAATCGGATCAACAATTTCAATGTCAACAGAAAATGAGTTCCAGATAAGCTGTACGTCCTATTCATAGAGATGAAGCTCTTTAAATCTAATTTGATTGGAGATTTCAGATGTTTCATTTGAGGAAAAAGTCTGTTCACAGACATAGGTGCTCCCAAAGATGGTTGCCATTTTGAGTGCATGGTTCCTGAGATTAAGATATGTCTCAGAGGTGAGAGATGCATAGAAATTAGTAAGGCTGCTTGACTTGAATGCATCTTCCAGAGAGTCACAATTCTGTGGTTCGGCCAGTTCCAATTGGCAAATCGGATCAACAATTTCAATGTCAACAGAAAATGAGTTCCAGATAAGCTGTACGTCCTATTCATAGAGATGAAGCTCTTTAAATCTAATTTGAAACTGCTTTTGCAACATTTCCAGTGCATCCACACTTTTTTTTTTGGGGGGGGGGTTCCGCCAACAGTTTTTGAGTTGTCAGGAGATGGGTTTAAAGATATAAATATTTGCTTGTCATAATTCACAAGGATAAGATACTGTAAACATACTATCCTTGAATTCTAAACAATGATATAGTTTCTGTTAGAACTGATAAGAGTTTTCACTTTGGCAAGAATAAGCCAATTTCAGCAACTTCATAGCTAAACTAAGACAGCTGCTTGTCGTATGGACTTGTACAAATCACAAGCACCGGATAGGTCCTCTGCATCTTTTTGGTCTGTCAACCAGTACTCTTGCATCATTGTGTGCACACACAATATGCTTCATAAGTAGAGAAGGTATCAGTGCAGAGAAACACAAACATTTTTACACACAAACTGCAGGAAAAAAGAAGTGCTTGATGTCCCTTTATAGTGGTGGAGGCAAGAAATCTGGGATTTAGTGATTCCTCAACAGAATGTCTCAAAATAACAAAACAGCCTGACTCCTTGAGAACTAGCAGCTTAGAAAGCAGACCCCTCAGTGGCTTTTCCAGCACATGGATTGCTGCCAGAAGTTGGTTGCTGGCTGTTGAAGCCACATTGTAAATAGGTCACAAGTTTTCTTTAAGGAGAGGTCAGTGGCTTTTTAAAAAAATGCTCCTTGCGTCAGGCTTTCCCCCTTGCTCTCTGCTCAGTGGGGGGGGGGCACAGAGAGAGGGGGAAAGGGACCAAAGTGATTACCCGGCTCCAGCGGGTGAAGAAGGAGCCAACAGGCCGGATAGAACAGCAAGGCTGGTTGGATGTGGCCCATGGGCCGTAGTTTGAGGACCCCTGATCTATGATAACATAACAAATATATTGAAGACCTACATGGAAGGGACAAATGGATGACTTACTCCTTTGAAAAGGGAGTCTATTAGGAAGAACCTGCAGTTCTAAAAAGTGAAATGAAATCTGCTCTAAAACATTTGAAAGTAATAAATCACCAGGGGCAGATGCAATATCGATAGATCTGTTTCAAGCCACAGAGAATGATTCTGTAAAAAAACAACAAGAATATGTCAACAAATATGGAAAAACAAAACAGTGACCCACAGACTGGAAATGCTCAACATAATTCCGATCCCTAAGAAAGGAGATGCCAAGGAGTGTAATAACTACAGGACCATTGCTTTTTCATGCAAGCAAAATAATGCTCAAGGTGCTGAATCAAAAGCTTTTACCTTATGTAAAACAAGGTGCTGAATCAAAAGCTTTTACTTTATATAAAACAAGAAATGTCTGATGTTCAAGCTGGATTTAGAAAAAGAAGAGGCACTCAAGATCACATATCTGCTGACTACTGGAGAGCTCAGTTGAATTCCAGAAGAATATCAGTCTATCCTTTATAACTACAGCAAAGCCTTCGACTGTATAGATTATATTACAGAAAATAGCAATGGGTTATTTTGAAAGAAATGGGTATGCCTCAGCACTTAATTGTTCTAATGTCTAACTTGTCGTGTGGGCAAGAAGCTATTGTCGGACAGAATATGGAGAGATTGAATGGTTTCCTATATGCAAAGGTGTCAAACAAAGGTGCATTTTATCTCCTTATCTGTTCAATCAGCACGCAGACCACATCATATGGAAAGCCAGATTAGATTCTGATGGAGAAGTGAAAATTGGTGGAAGTAACCCCATGCAGATGACATCATCTTAGTGGCAAAAGACAGCAATGATTTAAAATGACTGTTGGAGAAAGTGAAAGACTGCAGCTCAATGTTAAAAAGACAAAAATCATGACTACAGAAGAACTACACAACTTTATTGTTAACAATGAAGAAACTGATGAGCAAAATGGCCGAGGACAGAACATTTTGGAGAGTGCTCATTTATAGAGTTGCCATGAGTCAGAGGCAACATGATGGCAGATAACTTCTCTTTGTTATCCTTTTCTTTCTCAAATTTCCAATTTCTTTTAATTTGTATCCTTCTTTCTCTCACACACACTCTCCACCCATTAGGCTTCCAAGAGAGCTACAGGTCGCTTTTTCCAGAAGCAAGATCTAATTGCTTTTAGAGGGCTTTTTAAATTGTCAAGGGCTGCATGGATTTATCTTGAGAGCTCGTGATACCCTGGAGGATTAAGCTTTGGCTCAGTCTGAAGCCCTCTTGGCCTAGCTCTTGCTGGATAAACCTGAACATCTCTTGGACAAATAACCACCACACAGATATGAAGTTACTGCTCCTGGGTGAGATCAAAGTAGCAAAGTACCTGGTAGGTTGAACTGCTTCTGTTGTCGTGTGCACTGTGGAGAGGGATGCAAGGGGGAAGGCGGTGTGGCAATGGGCGGCAGGGGAGGAGCAGGGGAGGAAGGTGTGGATGATGTCGTCGAGGAAGGATTGCTGCTGGAGTCTGGTTGATAGGGCACTGGAATGTGATCCTAAAAGAGAAAGAACAGTAACTAGGTGAACACACAACATACAATCTTTATATCTCCTCTTCTGGCTCTCCCCGCAGACATATGTGAGACAGCAAAGGCATAAAAGAGACATGGAAGAAAGAGGTGTTAGAAAAACAGAGAGAAAGGAATGGCAGACCCTGAGTGTATGTGAAAAGAGAGAGAGAGAGGAGCCAACACTAGGCAGCTAAATGGGAACATCGTGAAGCAGTAGATGAGATCAGTAAGGAGTACCTATCTAGTGCTTCTGATGCTTCCTAGTCATGTGATACTGGCAACCATAGAGGGGGAGGTTGCAGTTTTAAATTCTGGCTAAAAGAACCTCTGGTTGCGCAGGAGAAGTGCACGGAATTACAGAGCAGAATTAGTTTCAAGTCTTCCCAGAGTAGACCCCCCCTTTTCCATCTACAGTATCAATGAATCACTCTGAGATATTCATAGGAGAAAGAATAAAAGGTTTAATTTACTCTCAGTTAAACCAAAACAGCATAGTGTTAAAAAATGACTGCTTATAGCAACAGGCCTAAGAGAGTAAAAGAGATACGAAAAAAGACATCACAGGAGAGAGATGTGTCTCCCTTTGAAATCAAAAGCAAGGAAAAAGAATTGGTTACTGCTGAACTGATTGACAGTCACCCCAGTTGAGAAAGTTCCTTCCCAGCCAAACCTCCTAAAGGCAGCATACAAGGTTGAAATAATTCCAATAAGGGAAAGAGTAGGTAGGCAGTTTTGTGTGCTAAAGAGAGACATAGCAGAGGGGCAAGGAAAGGGAGGAGAAGGAGCAGGGCAAGCAAACATGCTAGGGAGGCATAAGGCAAGGAAAGAGACAGGAAAGGTTGGAACTCTTCTGACAGAGAAAATCTCATTAAAAAGAGAGGTTACTCACCTGGTTCTTTAACTGTAACTCTGGTTCTTTGAGTGGTCATCTGTGAATTCACACTGTAGGGTTTATTCTGCACTTGCACAGAGGTTTCCAGAATATTCTAGAGCTTTAATTCACCAGGACCGACCGCCTAGCACACATGGTCCACCCGTCCTGGCGATTGCCCCTGCCCCTAAGAACAGTCCACTGCTGTACAAAAAGGAAACAGACATGATGGCCAGAGGGGAGGACAGGTGGGAAGTATGAATTCACAGATGACCATTTGAAGGACCAGAGTTACAGGTAAATAACCTCTCTTTCTTCTTGGTGGTCTACGTGAATGCATACTGTAGGGTGATTAGCAAGCTTACTTACTGGAGGAGGGACATCACGGAGGTACCGATGACAAAATGGCTCTGCCAAAGGCTGCATCTGCTCTGGCCCTGACATCACGGCAGTAGTGAATAGCAAATGTAAATGGAGTAGATCAGCGGTCCCCAACCTTTTTGGGGCCGTGGACTGTCTGGGGGGAGTGAACTCCATGCACAAGGGGGCGGGGGCAGCCCCATGCAAGTGTGGCAGGTGTGTTGCGCTTGCCCCACGCAAGCATGATACGCCCCCACGTGAGTGAGACACACCCCCTGTGGGTGTGACACACACCCTGTGCAAGCATGCAGGGGGGCGTCCCCAACCTTTTTGGGGCCGTGGACTGTCTGGGGGGAGTGAACTCCATGCACAAGGGGGCGGGGGCAGCCCCATGAAAGTGTGGCAGGTGTGTTGCGCTTGCCCCGCGCAAGCATGATACGCCCCCACGTAAGACACACCCCCTGTGGGTGTGACACACCCCCTGTGCAAGCATGCAGGGGGGGCGAGATCCATATCCCCGGCCCAGTTCCGGCAAGCCCATGGACCGGCACCAGGCCATGGACTGGGGATTAACAACCCCTGAAGTAGATCATGTTGCAGCTTTGCAAGCATCTGGAATGCCAATACCTTTCAAGAAGGCTGTGGAAGCAGCAGCAACTCTGGTGGAACGAGCTATGAGAGAGGACAGTAAAGGCTTGTGAGAGAGATTGTAAGCGAGCCGTATTGTCGTGACGATCCAGTGGGAAAAAGTTTGAGATGAAATACGGGATCCATTATTGGGCCGATAGGAAGAGACAAAGAGTCTTTTAGATTTATGAAAGGAAAAGGTTCTAGAGACACAGAACACCAAAACCCGACAAACATAAAGGGAATGAAAAGAACTTTCTAGGTCATTAGACATGAGAGAGGTTGTAAGCAAGCCGTATTGTCGTGACGATCCAGTGGGAAAAAGTTTGAGATGAAATACGGGATCCACTATTGGGCCGATGGGAAGAGACAAGGAGTCTTTTAGATTTATGAAAGGAAGAGGTTCTAGAGACACAGAACACCAAAGCCTGACAAACATCAAGGGAATGTAAAGAACTTTCTAGGTCATTAGACGTGGTTTTGTGGAAAAGCAGTCTCTCAAAAGTCGTCACCAGTGGCTCAAAGGGAGGTAGAGTGAGGCATTGCAGGATAGTGTGTAAGGACCATAGCAGAGGTAACAGTGGGTGTGATGACAGACAACTTTAGGTAAGAAGGAGACATCCGGATAGAGGTCTGCCCATCCTGAGGGGCCTTCTGAGAATGAAACTGGAGAAAGGGTGGATCAACATGGAGTGTGGCGAGCTCGGTGGGCTGAGGTAATGGCAACAAGGAAGATGGTTTTGTGGAAAAGCAGTGTCTCAGAAGTCGTCACCAGTGTCTCAAAGGGAGGTAGAGTGAGGCGTTGCAGGACAGTGTGTAAGGACCATAGCAGAGGTAACGGTGGGTGTGATGGTCGAACATTGGAGAGACCTGTGAGGAATTTCTTGGGAGTGGGATGACAGAATAGCATGGCAGCATCAGACTCTTGTGGTTGGTGTGAAATTATGGCAGGTGTAGGGAAAACTTTGGGGCGGGCAAGGACAAGGAAAGGTTATGATGGAAAAGGTGAAGCAAAATGCTAATAGTGTATCAAGAGTTGTTGGCACAGTAGATAGGTTATGTTTGAGTGTGAACTTTATAGAAAGTGGTCCATTTGTAAGTATAAAGATGGGTGGTGGACAGCTTCCAAGCATAAGCAAGAATGTGGGGTATGGAGGGTGGATTCTCCATGCTGTTAGGTGAGTTTGTGGAGATCAGGATGGAAGATCCTCCCATGATTCTGTGTGAGGAGGTGGGGGAGGAGATCAAAAACACATAAAGCCTTGAGTGGCAAGGTCTGATGTGACTCTGAGAAGCTTGCTGGGTTGATCGAACAGAGGGTTGAAAAAAGTCAGGTACCAAGCCTGAAGTGACCTCATTTTTAGTCAAGCATGTTATCTGACAGAGGTTGTGGAGGCCATCAGTCCTAGGAGGCACTGGGTTTGATGGGCTGTGACAGTAGCATGAGGTTGGAAATGGTGCAGAAGCATGTGAAGCTTTTTTGCTCATTCTTGTGAAACGAAGACACAATCCTGTCGCGAATCTAGGACGGCTCCTATGTAAGTCACTATTTGAGTGGGTTGTAGTATAGATTTGTCCATGTTGACTCTGAGTCCCAGAACCACCAAGAAGGACAGACCTATGTCATGTAGGACCTTGGAAAGAGAGGGGGAGACCAGCAACCAATCGTCATAGAATCATAGAAAAGGGAAGTTAGAAGAGGCAAGTTGCAAATAAGACAAAAAGTCTTCTGGTGGTGACGGTGGGTTGGCATCCATGACATCAGAGTCTGGTGTAGGGAGGTTAGGCGGGAACTCGCATGGTGGTGAGGAGTCCAATGATTTGGTATCAGAAGGTGGGTGACATGGTTGTGGAAATTGATGTTCTGTAGATGTGGAGTAATGCTGATATGGAAATGCTGAAGTGTCGGGCATGTCACCTTGTAGTGGAGCTAAAGGAATATGGTGTTTATTCTTGCCGATACTGTAGGATTTTGCAGGTTGAAGTTGTGTGGACAGATGTGGTGTGGATCTCTTAGGTTGATGAGAGTGTGTGGGCTCATGCGGGATGGGTGGTGTCACTACTCTATAAGTAGTAGTGATTTGTAACTAAGAGGATCATACTTGAGAGAGTATAGTTGCTTTGGTAGCATAAGTCTGGGTTAGTACCGAGATGCAAGATCATTTCGGTATCGTAGTACTGAATTCAGTAGGATGAGATCATTTGAGATAGTGCTTAGTCGACTTTGGTACTGGAGGGTGAGAAGGTAAGTTGTCATCAGAAGATATTTCATAAAGGGTCTCAGAACTTGTATGGTACAGAGGAGGACACGGTGATCCCGAAGAGTCAGAGGGGTAGTAATAGGCATACCAATGGTGTTTAGACTCGGTGTAGAACATGGGATCGGGTTTCCAGTGTCGGTAAGATTGCTGTTGATATCGCTTGGGTTGAGGCTTGTAAAAAGTTAGAGGCTCATATAGAGTGATTCAACTTATAGTAGCGTTTTGGAGCTCGAGTATTGTGCAATGTCATTCACCCCCGTGTTGGAGGAGCTTGTGTATGCTCGGCATCAGACCGGCAAGTCTCTAGTCTCTAGTGGGTCTTCCAAGGTTGTTTGCAAGGTGGTGGTGGATCAGGTGAAGTAGAGGCTGAATCCAAATCTGGAGCAGAGACAGAGCAACCCAAAGATCTGGGGCGTGAATAAGCTGATTGGGCTATCACTGTGACCTCAGCCTCCATTCAGGCAACTGACTGAAAATGGGGGACGGTGGTTGGCCTGATGGTGGGAGGTTAGATCCGTCCTCTCCTGAAGGAGAGTCATGGCAGATGGTCATATGGACCTATATGGACGGTGGAGGAGCAGCTTTGTCAGATGCAGGTCAAGAGGAAGTATGCTTGGATTTGTTGGTAAGTGAGTCCTGAGATGACATGAAGAGGAAAATTCTCACCAGCAGAGTTAACAGTAAAATACAGAACTCCAACATATGCTGTTGAAAAAGCTCTCTCTCCCATATAGAACAATGCAATCTTGAACATCTGGGGTTCACAACATGGTAGAAAGAAGCACCTTCCTTTTCTCTAGAAAGAAACACTAAGTCAGCTCAAGTTATTTTGAATTAATCATTCCTCATGGGCCATTAAACGCAAC